ATTCAAACTGTAAAAATAGAGACCATACAATTATATGAAAATAAGCACTAACCACTAGTACTTTTTAAACAAACATTTTAGCACGAGTTATTTTAACAGACATTTTGGTGTAGTTTGTAATGCACGTCAATACTTTTTTAAAGAGCATTTTGATTTGGTTTTTATGCATATTTTGGCAAACTGCACATCTGCTAGCCACTTTTTGGTGCCATTAACAAATAACAGCACTGCAAATAGGACATGCATTTTTAATGCATTTCCATAATACATGTAAAAATTTGCCAAAATACGTGTTAAAAAAGCACCAAAATACACAAAAATGTCAACTCACATTTTTAAAAAAGGTTGAAAAAAGGCTACAAAAAAAAAAAGCTTGTTTAAAAACTGCACCAAAAAGACCCCAAAAAGCCAAACTGAACTTTTTTTGGACATGGAGTGTTGTGTTTTTAATGCACATTGATAAAAGTATCTGTCAACTGACAAAATGTGCAGCAAAATGCATGTCTAACAGCATTTGGAATGCCATTAACACACACAATTTATATCAATGGTCAACCACACTGGTGCTGATATTAAGAAGCTTTCTTTCTCACATCACAGCAGCTTCTTACCAAGATTCTCCAGCCCAGAGGTGGAGAATCTGGGACAGAGATATTTTAAAGTGATGGCCAGTGAGATTTTCAGATCTCACCTTCATAAACTGGCCATCTCTGTAAAAGTTAATGACAGAAGGGTGTGTGTGTCCTGTGATGAGAAGTGAAGAAAATGTTCTCTGCTCCTCAATTGGCTTCATAAACTGGCACACCTGAGAGATCAGCTGTGATCAACAGGATCTCAGATGTCAGTTTTATGAAAGTGAGAACCTAAGGCCTGCAGGATGCCTCTTTCTAAAGGACCATAAGGCCAGGTTCACATCTATGCATTTTTCAGAAACTCACTACAGTCCACTTAATGTGATTTTCTACGGGACACATTCAAATCTATGCATTTTCAGCCACAGCGTTTTTGAATAGGGCCAGGGACACTTTTTTTCAGCAGACTGCAACACGCATTAGGTGTGAAGCAGGCCTAAAACACTCTACAGATTAACACTTCCCTCTGACCTGTCCTAAAACAATGACAAATCTGTCTGTTCTGTCACACATGACTTAGAAGGTAATTAAAGCTCTAGGAACGCATAGGGTGTGAAAGGTCTACCCAAAAAGCAGCCAGGGGTGGACACCTCTGCCCAAATTCACAACTTAAAACCCACACAATTCATAAAATCCAACAGGACCAAGACACATTAATATATATATTTGGGGAATATCATACAGAACAAATCAAGATCATACATGACTAAGCTAGCACATTCAAAAGGGGAGAAAGCATTCTTCTGTTGCCTGGGTGACAGACCCATCCAAAATACTGTCTGGTACAAATTATAATGCTGAACAATAATTACCAGTTTCCAGAATGCAACCTGTACCTAGTGGAAGATATTAGTATAAAACTGTATATGGGACTTGGATATAAACATTGTGACACCCACCTCTTAAAGGATAAGTTCACTTTTTGGAACATGTTAAAGGTTCCACCTGTTTTTAGGGTTAACATGTTCCCATAGCCACAGCAACCCTCTTTCTGACAAATAGTATGGGGAAACTTCTCCACCCACACAGCCACATTATTCATTCATAGACCTCTGTGAATAAACTGCAAGTCCCGACAGCGTCAGCTTGTAATTTTCAATGAACTACTGGTAGATATTTTTGACAGCAAGCTTCAATGAACTGCTTGCTCGTACATCCCATATGCAAGCAGATATTCTGACAGGTCTGCAGGAGCCCTGCATGGCATCAGTGATCTACTGATCACTGGTGCAATGCTTTTCAGGCTCCTGTAGAAGATAAATGCACTTTTTTTACCTGCATTTATTTTTGTGTAAAAGGTGAACCTGTCCTTTAAAACAGATGATTGGTCAGATGGTCTGTCAGCACTCTGATACTACAGAAAAAAAGTTAACAGCAGGACCTACCAAGCTCCTGTTTTACCATCAACGAAGGAAAATCTGTTATGAAAGTTATGAAAGCCGATAACATCTTGCTTATTGACTGAACTGTACTAAAATCAAGGACTTTGCAAGTACGCTTCATTATCAACCCCTTAAGTCTGTTGCTTTATTGCTGTTTCTTCATAACATTTTTTTTCCTTAAATATATTTGCACCATTGCCCTTTTCATTAGTAAACCATAGTTTGCAAATTGTTAAAACTGTCTCTGGCTTTTAAAGCAAACTAAAGAATCCCCATCTATTGGAAAGGGGTACTGTATATGACAAATCTTTGAATAGCTGACTGTGGTGACTGTACAGACACTTATCCTGAAATCATAGTTACTGCTAAGAATGGAGTTCCTCCTCAAAGGCGTGGTGGTAGCTTAAAGGGTTAATTACTAATTAAACACTTTAAGTCCACCCTATAACAGATTTAGTCCTCATGCACACTGGACATTTTTACAGCTGCTGTTTTTGGTTGAGTTTTTTTCTACAGCCAGTAAACTCCCCAGAATGTTATCCTATGTGTCCATGCACACAGACTAATCAACATTTTTTGGCAGGGGTGTTTTTTGGTTAGAAAAAAAACCCCCAGAACTAGTGTGTAAAAACGCTCCAACACTGAAAAAAAAAAAAGCTGCAAACTGGTGATATTTTTTGAGCAAAAAAAAAAAAAAATCTTTTGGTAAAAAGCTAAAAACAAAGCAAAAACACTTTAACATGACTTTACATAGCCAATGCTAGCAACATCATTGAAAACAGCCAGTGTGCATGGAGCCTTACCGCTACAGGGCAGAAGCTGGGTGCAAAACCACATATAAATGTGATTTTGCACTTCCACTGTAGGGGGCATATGCACACCACTGCTTCTGCTGTGATTGGATACAGCAGAAGCTAATAAACAGGTGCCAATTGACAAGCACTGGAACCCACTTACCACCAGAGCTATATTCTGTCAGCAGTTATATGCTAGATTCTTTCCACTCATACACACAGGGTGTTTTTGTAGCCACTCTTAGGAGCATCAGGCTTTTTTTTACTGCTTCCAAAAACAGCCCTCTGTTATCCCAAGTGTCCATTCACAGACTTAGCAGTAGCATTTACCAGCAGGAAAAACCCAGGGCTAGAGTGTCCACCAGCAGCAGCATTTTTTGACAGGGAAAAAAAAAAAAAAAAAAAAAAAGCTTGACACCTAAAAACACAAATGCATTTCAAAAGGCCAGAGTAAATTATTCTGGCCAATTAACACCCAAGCATTTTACTTTTGTGTCAAATACTTTTACAAGCATCAGCTGTTTTTTCTCCAAAAACACTGCTGCCAGGACAGTTTCTAGGCTTTAATTTTTCCATCCTGTGCACATGAAGCATAAGTTGCTGATTGCTGCCATTACCAGTATATACACACTGTAGGTTGTAGATGCTATAACATTTGCACAAACCAATCAATACCCATTGGAATTTTTTTTTTTTTTTAACCAAAGACATGCAGCATAATACATTTTGTCCTAAATTTAAATTTAAGAACTAGTTTTACTTTATTGGATGTGTTATAGCAGGGATTTAAATTGACATTTTGTTCATTAGCACAAAAAATAAAGCACACAGGTGTCAAATACCACCATTGTTATTTAAGTGACAGCAGTGTTGGTACAACCCACTGGGTTAATGAAAACGTTGATCCAACTATGGTAGGTTTCCCAGTGCCAAGTTTGTAAAGGCACAGCAGCCCATTCATTTGAAGGGGCTGCTGTGTCTGCATTTCTTGCAAGGAAAAGGTCTCTTTTTTAAACAGCCATGTTTGCACCATGCAATTTTCACGCAAGGGAAACTGTACTGCATTTCAGAGCACGAGTGCCACAAGTCAATGGCACCCCTGCAGTTTCCATTGCAACACTGCATTGTGTGCAGCTGTAAGACTACAATTTACATGCATTCACAAATATGTACATAGCCAAGAATGCTGTGAAACAATGTGGAACTGCAGCCACAACTAGTTCTGGCACAGCAGAGAAAATATGGGCCACTGGCAGTTTTTTTGTATGTTTTGCAGATTTCTATCTTCCAGTAAAACCAGATCGGTATTCGTTTTTACTGGCTCTACAAAATGCTGCTATACCTGTGCTAGATACCAGCACCTGTGGATGCACTGATTGCTATAGGGGCTAAAATGATGGTTTGCACAACTGCCCATAAGCAGAGAATGAGCTCCTTGTTTGAGGTTCGTGGCAAAACAAGGACATGTAAATACCTACCCAGCAGTTAATGTGAAATCTGATTTAGAGGCAGGAATTTCAGTTTTCCTTTTGTGCTACCTTACTACAGCCTTAAAGTGGTTGTAAACCTCAGACATGAGGTATGAACAAAGCATATCCCTCTGTAGTGTGTAGTATATCCAAAGTGCTAAGTGGCATTTGTTAGTCTTATTCCTTTGCTATAAGTCACTTATGGCAATTTTTCCCCAACACCAAGTGAAACATTGTGACAAGAATGGCACAGCCTATGATTGACAGCCTTTGTTCTGTTGTATGTAAGGGACATGTCCTTCCCCCACCAATCAGCTCCCAGAGCCCTCCTTACTGATAACTTCAGCTTACCCACCACCCCTTGCTTTCCAGAGCTGAGAACTCGTGTGAAAAAACAGCAGTATGAATAGAGGTAGGAAAAGAACGGAACAGGTACAACTAATGTAAGAGTTTCAGGTCCATCTGAGGCCAGTCACTTCACTGGGTATATGTAAGGGTTTACATCCACTTTAATTGGTGTGCCATTCCCCTCATTTAGTGTGCTCAAATTAGTTTGGGCAGTAAAACTCCAAATGATCCACAATATTACCACCCCCAAACCACTACCCTCTTAGCTGCAGAATTTTACACCTCACTGTTCAGTGGGTGCTACTGCCTCTAACCCTTTGTGGTTGTTGGGTGCTAGGGCAGGGTACATGAGGTTAATCGCTTTCCCACCACACGTGATTTTGCATTTCCGGGTAGGGGGTGCACACACCCTACTCACGCTGCCATTTGCAGTCATCACCAGGTCCCACCCAGTAATTACCGATCATTTCTGACAGGGAGGACTGTTTTGTTTACCAACAGTCCTCCCCGTCAGCTTGGGCACACTGCTCTGGATGGCTGTGCACAGCCATCCAGAGCAGAGCAATTACAGTGAAGCACACAGACTGCACCCCCCCAGTAATATAATCTCTGCACAGTTAACCCTTTGATCACCCCCCTCATGTTAACCCCTTCCTGCCCAGTGCCATTAGTACAGTGTCCATGCTTTTTTTTAGCACTGACCACTGTATTGGTGTCACAGGGGATGTCAGTGGCACCACGTCAGTTCCCCCCAGTGTCAGAATGCCTGCGCCGCAGTCTCGCTACAAGTCGCTGATTGCCGCCAATAATAAAAAAAAGTTCCAGTACATGTCACCATTTGTAAACGCTATAACTTTCACGTAAAAAAAATGTACACATATTGGGATTTTTAGCAGACGTGTAGCAGAATACATTTTGGCCTAAATGATGAAATTTGATTTTAAATTTTTTTAATGGACATGGTCAGGTTTTTTTTTTATAGTGCAAAATATAAAAATCGCACATGCGATCAAATACCACCGAAAAAAAAGCTCAATTTGTGGGAAAGAAAATGTAGATTTCATTTGAGTGCAGTGTTGCATGACTCTGCAATTGACAGTTAAAGTAACACCATAATGCAAAAAATGGCCTGGTAAGGAAGGGGGTGGGGCTAAATCCTCAGGAGGGCAAGTGGTTAAAAGGCAGCAGCAATACAATATCACCTGTCAAATGCTCTAAGAGTTCTGAATGTGAATTCCTCTCCACAGAGCAAAGCTGTGTGAACAAGCCCTTTAAAGTGGCCTTTGCTTTGTCATGGTGACAGGCCAGAACAGTATCTTTCTGGACATGACATTAAAGAGCAGATATGATATTCTTGCATCCTCATTCTAGCCAAAGCTAGAAAAAGTTTTAGCTGAAACGAAGGCTTTGGGAGCCATGAGTTTTTCACAAAAGAACTTGGGCTAACTTTTTTCCTCACTACTGTACAATGGACAGGTTTCTGGTATGTGAACAGACTTTCAAGTAGAGAACTACATACTCCATAACCACAGGTATCCAAAGATTTATAAGTACGTGCTGATACATTCAAATACTTAGGGCTCAGCCACACCAGCTCAAACTCCAAAACATGCTATTTAGCAGGATGATCTGTTTAGGGGCAGCGAAAGGTGGCCCCTTGCATTGTTCAACACAATTCACCATTTGTCGCTTTGACATTTTAATAAAGTTATTTTCACTTCTATGCACTGAAGCAAAGAATATAGTTAGCCCTATGGGCATTCCTTTCAGACAAAAGTTTTGAAATGCCTTCCTGTACACAAACCCAACAGCATGGACAGTATGTAAAAATATTCTCTTTATAGAACATTAGCCAAATGTTCAGTATTTAACAAGACAGCACACTGTCCCTAGAGGCAGATTTTCCCCTCAAATATAACCTAACCATGAATGAGGTGATGGTGCAAGAAACCACCAAAGGTAGATTTTGGCATGAAAATAAGCCTAAAGCAAACTGCACAAGATTAGCCTCGGCATAAAAAAAAGCTTAAAGCTTCAGAGGAAAAAAAAGGAGTTTCTCAGATCTACCATTTTACAGATCCCCCCACTATACATCAATTAAATCCCAGTAAAAAGACAAGCAATCTAAAAACCCCAAAATATTTTTTTTTTATTAAAAAGGCTTTCTGCAACAACTAGATACAAAAAACAGGGGCATTCCATAGGTCAAAAGTTTTAAATTTCTTACCCAAAGTGATTCCCACAACCCCAAATGGCCAGAGAACTGTAATCATGTGAAACTGCCACTTTATAGCATTCTGAAAGCCATGATAGACCCCTTCTGTACTGGGACTTACAAGGGCCAAGTCAGCACAACACTGCTAATAAGCAATGAAATACTCTTGCAACCAACACTTTATGGTCATGTACACACAAACAAAAGAAAAAAAAAAAAAAAAAAAAAGTGTCGAATAGGACACCACTGACCCATCTGTTGCTTTAGATGTGAAAGGGCCATTGCTAGCTGAAGCAATGTGCTCAAGGTATGGAATATTTTAATAGGGCACATCAGTGACCTTGCAAAAGAAACTGCAACCAAGGCTTTAAGTTGTTACAGCTACCTAGAAAATTGATTACTTCTGTACAGAAAATCTGGTTGTTCAAAGCAACACTTTCACTCTTTAAAAAAATAAATGGCCTATTAAGTTCTGGACTGATCCTTACCAATTCCAGCTCTCAGAACCTGAAAAACCCACTACCTTGAACGATGTGTTTTATATTTATAAGTAGGTAGGTTTCAGCAGTATTAACCACCACATCAAATGTGTCAGGTGGGAAGTAATTTAAACTGTTGAAAAGACAAAGCTTGTAATTGTACAATTTCAATGGAAATCTTATTGCCAAAATACGCAAAATGTTAATCATATACATGTATCTGGAGATAAAGCAGAACACATTGACATTAAGGCATGACTTAAACACAAAAGGATGCAGGATAGAGGGAGGGAGACTGTCTTTGGAATCATCCTCAGATTTAAACAGCCGTGCACCATTCACAGATCAGAGGAACCACAGAACTTTCACAGAAAATTCCAGGGTAAGAGGGTTAAAAAAATGGGCTAAGGGAGTGGAGGGCGTCCTACGATCCGACACCGCAAATAGCTCAGGTGGCCATCTTTAAATATAAAGCGGCAAACAAAAATCTCTCATTCAGACCATAATAGTCTCATCTCTCAACCCTACACATCTACACAAAAAGGGAAAAAACAAAAAAGTTGAACAGGGTGGCGGTGAACAGCGGTATACAGTGACCCATCAGCAGACACTGTCACATGCACTGGTGGCCAGCCCAGACAGTCCATATAAAAAGATCCAGTAGCCTTTTGAATTTTATTCATCATCTCTTCTTCCTCCTCATCAAAGTCCTCCTCTCCTTCGTCTTCCAAATCCCTTTTTCGTTTTTCTCCCTGGGGTACATCTGCAAATACAGAAGATAATTGGAGAAAGCTATAACTTTTTAATGAGCCCTTTAAAAAAGGTAAATATGTCAATTTGTTTACAAACCATAATTCATGATTTCTCACAGAAGGTGAATAATTTTACACTTCATGGACAGACTCAGACCCAAGCCAGAATACCCACAAACCTAAAAAAATCACCTATATGCTCGAAAGCTTTTCTGAACATTCAACTTAGGAGAGAAACCCATATCCATTAACAGCAGTTTATGAAAATGTACTCCTAAAGGTGGCAAGAAACCCAAAACCAAAAGTGTAACACATTGCAGCTTACCAATCCAATGTGGTGGCTGCATTAGTTTAGGCGTTTAGTTTCCCATTCTGGATGAAAGTACAGGGTGTCAATTCTGGACAGCACTGTCTAGGGCAGGGGTGGGCAAACTTTTTGACTTGAGGGCCGCAATGGGTTCATATATTGGACCCGGGGGCCGGACCAAGAGTAGATGAATGATGTGTATGTGTTATCCATAGTAAGTATAGTAATATTCCCCCATAGTAATTCATCCCCCCATATTAAGTCCCCAAGTCCCCCCTGTGTCAATTCACTTACCTTTGCTCCGCGCGTTCCTCTCGCCGTTTTCCCGCGCCGTTCCGGTGTAGCATGAAAATCTGTCTCCTATGAGGATCTGTCCCCCTCGACGTATCTGCGCATGTGCCAGTTTCAGGCATTAGCAGCTGATCTGCGATCTCCGGCACATGCGCAGATACGTCGAGGGGGACAGATCCTCATAGGAGACAGATTTTCATGCTACACCGGTCTTCAGGGCGGACTGAGAGGAGCCTAGCTCCGCCGGGCCGTATACGGCCCGCAGTTTGCCCATTGCTGGTCTAGGGGAATGCTAGATGTACCAGCAGATTTAGATGCACTAACTGAAGCCAAACAGCTACAGCAGTTTTCTTTTGGGATAAATGTTTAATAAAAAGGTGATCATTGTAAAAACTTGAGGGTGGTATACAGGCTCTAGTTTTTCCCTTTTTATCCTCAATTAACATACCGTCATCTTCATCTTCCTCCTCTTCTCCTTCCTCCTCTTCTTCCACATCCTCCTGTAATATGAAAAACAAGTTAGCAAGAGGAAAAATTATATGCATAGCATTTCCAAGCAACGAAAATTATCCAGTGAGAAACTCACCTCATCATCCACTCCATCTTCATCCTCCTCATCAAGTTCATCTTCATCAAGTTCTTCCTCATCTTCATCATCCTCTCCATCTATTAGGGTCAATACAAAGGACGTTTTAAACTACACATATATATATATATAGCAATATCTTTTGTACAAAGCTTCCTTCAATTTCCTGTAATTCTACCCCCCAAATCAGGAAGACATGCAAGGTCACAAGACAGAACTAACCTCGTAGAAATGAAAGAATATACAAAATCAAGCAAAAGCAATTATGGTGCCTACATAGACCATAACAGGTTAGTTCACAACTATTTTAAGTAGATCTCTCTATTTTTAGCTATAATTTAGGTTAGAATCTAAGAAATGTCAGCAGCGCACATCCCTGGGAGATGTAGCACTTGTTCTAACCTTTCCCAAAACAATCTACAAAGTTATACATTAAACCCTTGAATCCAACATTACAGGTTTCCTCCTCTGCATTTAAAAAAGCCTTTAGTGGTTCTAACGTGCGCTACATAAAATCACCAAACTTGTCACAAGTTCCATTCTTTGTGACAGCTGCTATGAAGAGTGAAATAAATTAAACCAAGCTCTAACCTTCTCCATTTTCATCTGCATCTTCTCCATCTGGTTCTGGGTCGGAATCTGGAGCTTCCTGGTCATCAGCATCAAAGCCATCTAGGTAAGTTAGCTGCGGCAGCAATGCGAATACACTCTCTCTGTAGTTATTCAGCATTGTCACTTCGCAGTTGAACAGGTCTAAACTCATGAGATGAGTTAGTTTTTTCTGTAAACAGAAAAAATGAGTGAATTCTAGACACGACATTGACGCACTGCTTTGCACTTATGCATTTTTGTTTAATGCCTCTTCATTTCACATGTTTTATACTAGCATTGTGCATAAAAATGCTCATATTATAACTACCCTGGACAACTGAACAGGAATGCAAGATGTGCTCACCACCTGTGGAAGGTATAGTTTACTAGCAATAAGTCAACCTGTGTTCATAAGCACATTTTACAGATTTAAAAAAAAAAAAAAAAAAAACTCCTATGCACATAACTATTGTAGTCCTTGACATAGCACAAACTCTAGCTGTCTCTGCTTTCACAGGCAGGCTACAGCCACTGAATTACTCAAATCAAATTGCCTTTTCACTGAATACAGAGGCAGATGTCTGCAGCTGAAAACAGGCTGCCATGGCACTTGGACAGACCAAAATTATGCATATGAAGCTTAATTTAGCAGGGATGTTGAATTCCTATAGGCAGATGCCCAGGACATGCAGTTTCGGACTTTTTTTTATACTTAGCCCTGCTGCGGGCAAGCAGGTTTAGACCCACCCTCATGTTGCCTTCTGCAGGCTGTCCCCATCGACAAGGCGGCATTTCCGCCGGCTGATCATAGAGGAGGCAGTGACAGAACCCACTGTGGAGCATGCCAGGGAAAGATCAGTACCTTCTCCCCCAGCAGAGAACAGGCAGCTCCCCAGCATCACACTTATCCCTGACCAAGGTTGAGCCTGCAGCAAGGATTGCAGTGATTGGGTGAACTTGAGGGGGTGTGGCTGGACTGAGGCGATCACTCCTTTCCACAGGTTTGCTGTTGTGAAAGAAGGCTGCAGGACTGGTATGGGAAAGTGACCCGCTGTGGGACCATAATAAAGGGCCTTCGTATCAGTGGGAATGGAGATAAAAAAATGCAACACACCACCAATTTATTCTCTAGGGCCTCCGCTTTAAATAAAAAAAAAAATGTTTGGAGATTCTAAGATTTTCTAGCAAAGAATAAAAAACATTAAAAGGTTAAGTAGTCATAAAACCCCTTTAGTTTTTAAAAGCACCTCTGCCTAATAAACAGCAACCCTTTATGTCCATTCTCAGAAATTTTTTATTTTTTTTTTATCGGGGCAAGTAGATTGGGGCCCAGATTTAGTCCTTGGACAAGTAGTTTTTTTTAATTTCCACACCAGATTTAGTATCTCATTCAGAATCATACCCTTATGAATAGGCATTGTTCAAGTAGTTTAAAATCATTTTTATGATATTACACTAGGCTGGAGTCTTTTTGTCTGTTAGCCCCTGAATATCATGGGACCATTTGCTACTGTGAGGAAGGCAAGATTCACACCTTTTCACCAAGATGGCTTGTGCCTTAGAACAATGCAGGTTTTTGAATCGTGAAACTTTAGTTTACTGAAATGTGCTGTATACTAGGCAGATGTATAGGAATTTTTTCCTGTGTTTTGTTTAGATTAAACCTTTTTTTCACATTTAGTTTCACATCAACTATTTTGAAACATCCTTTGCAAGGTTTAATCATAGAAAGCTGCAGCACAAGCATTGCTGGGTGTCTTGCACAAGTTAATATACTGCTATTCTATTTTATAATTTGCACTCCAAGTTACAGCACATTACAACACCATGAAGTACATTGTGTCAAAAGAAAAGGCACAGGCATTTGTCTATGCTGGCAGTCTGTTCAATTAAATGGGCTACCTTACTGCAATGTGTGCGAATGCAACACCTATGAAGGAGCCAAAAGGGTTATTGTATCCCTTTAAAAGCTAACAAAACCCAAAATGAAGACTAAAAACTCACCAGAGGCTCAAGTGTGTTAATGTCCTTAATTTTATTTCCACTGAGGTTTAGGTGCGTCAGGTTTGGTGTTTTCTCTGCAAGAACCTCTAAACCTCCAGAAATCCGGTTGTCACTGAGTTCAAGCTGGGGAAAGATTTTAAAAAAGGACAAATTAAAAAAAAAAAAAAAAAAAAAAAGGAGAAAATTCAAAATTCACTTTTCAACTGAAGTTGAACATGGTCATGTAAATTTTAAAGTTAGTTTTTGCTTTTGAAATGTTCTACTTATCTGCTCTGTGCAATGGTATTTCACAGAGCAGCCCTGATCCTCTTCACATGTCCCCCACCAGGGCTCTTTTCAGTGTGCCATTATAGGAAGCCGCTTCCTACCCTGGCACACCTGCATGCTTTCCATTTGCAGTGAGGCTCAGCCCTGTCCCCTCACAGAATGTTATTGACAGCAGCAGGAGTCAAGCGCTCCCATTGTCAACCTTCCCCATGAAAGGAGCCAGGAGAACTGCTGCTCTTGTGCACATTGCTGGATCCAGATTGGGCTCAAGCCAAGTATAAGGGGGGCTGCAGAAGTTTTTTTTTTTACCTTAAGGAATGAAGGTAATGCCTGCCTTTACCATTTTAAGATGGCAGTATAAAGGTATTTTGAGTTCATATACCTCTTCCAAAACATTTATCTAGAAAGAATTGGGAAATTGGGTCATTTCTAAAGACAATAGTGTGTCCAAAACACTCTGGGAAGGATAGCAAATGTAAAGCATTGCTGAAAATCAAAACATTCGAAATATGGCGAGCTTATACAGATATCTAATTAAATTTGTTTTTGCAAGAATCCACCATAAACCAATTCTAAAAAAATGAATGCTGGAAGCCTGCTTTCTACACAGTTAATCACAAGCCTAAAAAGGAGCAACAGACATGCCCATGCATGTGAAAGTTTCATTCAGTCACATCCAGTGAGATCAGCTGGAAGGAAAGAAAACAGGCATCCACTGTATGTACATCTTGCTCTAACTCCCCTGCATATCCAGTAAACCATTTACATATTCACTCATGGGAGTTTAAAAGTAGTTCAAACCATAACTAACCTTCTTTAATTTCTCGAGTTTTGGAAGATTGGACACAGATAATAAGTTGATATTGATCATACTCAGGAACTCCAAGTTCACAAAGTCTGCTGTGAGGCCTGTAATTTTGCCATCATCTGAGCGGCAGTTATCCAAAACCATCTCTTTAACCTGCAAACAGGGAAAAAGCAAAATATTCACAAACTGTAAATATATGCATGTAAACATTAAAAAAATGTAAATGTATGCAAGCAACACTGATTGGGCAAAATATCAAAATGAATGTCTAATACAGCAACCACTTTACAAAACAGAAGATGGCTCTGAAGCAATTGAACAGACTTTAAAAATAAGTGTAGTAATGCAGTCAGTCCAGTCTAATGAGATTCCTCCCCTCTATGGGTTGGGCAGAGATCAGACAACGCCGAACCATGTATTCAGGCAGAGGCAGTGTCATGACACCATTTTATGAACTGCCAGATCCCAATTCCCAGTTCCTGAACAAACAGAACATTAGTCTGACTACACTAAAGCTACTGTGTCACCATAACAGCTACCAAGTCAACTACACAATGACTACATGTAAAATGTCCACAGCACCTACTTGCTCAGGTTTACTATCAAGTGTGTGCTTCCAGAAATCCCCAGACCATATACATACAGCACATAGTAAGGTAGCAATCAGAGTATACAGATTCTAAGTAAAAGCTGTTCAACTACTGTTTTTACCACTTTAGAGTGTACACAAGGTTTTTTTTTTTTTTGGGGGGGGGGGGGGGGGGGGGTGGGGGGGTCTGCACAGCAAGCAAAAGTACTAATTTCTGCTTTGCCCAACAAATGACAAAACGTGAATTTTTCTACTTCGTGTAAGATTGTAATTGATACACTAAGGCTATGGATAATTAAAAAACCCTGAATAACCTCACTATGCTGTTCAAAGGAAGCAGTGACTAGTAAACAAGTACCACCACCCATTGCATACTTGTTTCACATATGTAGATCAGCCAGGCAACTAGCATTGTTGGAGGGAATGGCAAGTTCCCTAAATATTGGATATTAAGACATCAACTGCACACCTATGGTGAAGATTCTCTAGTCACATATCCGTGTCAGAAAGATTTAAGGTGTGCCTGTTTGAACAGCAGGCGTTTCATGCAATCACCTAAAACCACCAAATACTTCAGGTCGATTTTTCAAAATTGCTAGAAACCAAGTGCTTCCAGTATAAATTTCTACATTGAACTTTGGCTTGATCCTTCCGCAATGCAAACCTCCAAAGTGGGCAATATGAATTCCCATCACGCCTACTGAGCTGTATACAAATACATTTAAGGCAGTGAGTGGTTTGAATCGCAAACCATTGCACTGAATAAAGCACTGCATGCAGTACATTTCAGCACACACCACAGCAATGCTATGTTAACTGGAACCATAGAAAGGACATTTTGCCTTGTCCATTTCTGGTGTGAATACACACACTGAATCCCTACAGATAACTAGTGCCATGTGCCAAACTAGCGCCATGTGCTAGCAACTCACATCAGTGCCTTCTTTCATTGTATCTGAAACCATGTCAGTTATCCAACCAAAGATTTTACCATATTCAAGTTAAGTAAACAGTTATTACAGTATCAAAAAATCCAAAAGAGCCAAATTCAGTTCACCTTATGTGTTGGAAAGTAGTGTAGCCACCATAAAATGCCTCTCAAGTCTTCATGCACATGGGGTGTTTTGATAACGCTGGTAAACTTAGCTGTGTAAAGTCACGGTAAAAAACTGAGTTTTTTAGCATATCGTATTAGCGTTTGCGCTTTAGCCGAAAAAAAAAAACTTTGGTCAAAAAAGGCCCAAAACGCCGGTTTGTAGCGTTTTACCACATTTTTATAGCTTAAACACTCCTCTAGAAACCCACTAGCCCTGGTTTTTTTCCCCCAGACAAAAAACGATTACTGTGTGTGCATGGACACATAGGAAAACATGCTGGGGGGAAAACATGTTTACTAGCTGTAGAAAAAAAAAATCAAAAGCCAAAACCAGCAGCTGTAAAAACGTCCAGTGTACATGAGGACTTAAAAGTAGCAAACATACTGTATATACTTCATTTGTAATTCAAAGTTTAATTTTCATGCATTGATGCTGACTTCACCATTAGCCAGTAAACCAGATTCAATATTCAGATTAAAAAAAAACATTGTGTGTGAAATACTGCTGAAAGTGTGGGGTTTAAGTGATACAATTTACTGGTAAAACAAAGTTATTGACAAGCTTTTGTGAACTTGGATTCTCTTCCCCCCAAAAGCTTGTAACTTAAATACTTGTGTTAGCCAATAAAGGTTATCACTGGCTGGGATCACACTGGAGCTTTAGGCGTGTTTTGTACATGTGTTTAGGCATGAGCATTGGTTTTATCCAACTGAAAGCTAGTTACTAGACAAGAAAAATGCAAGAGGATCGAGTGTTGTAGCCTACATGAAAGCTAGATCATGAGAAGCTATAACTCAAGGTTTGAGCGTAAAAAAAAAAAAAAAAAAAAAAAAAAAAAAAACACAACTTCCCCTAAAGTAGTTGATGCACTGCAACACAATGCTCAGGTGCAAATGGGCATTGTTGAACATAATGAGATGGGGAGGGCTTCTGGAAACTAGCTTCAGACCACTCAGGTGTGAACTGGGCCTCAAACTAACATTTCAGCATTAACTGAAAGCCAACACCATACAAAACTTTACAAATGTAAAAAACCCAGACAGAATGAAAGAAATGGAAAAGTGAAAAAAAAATCCCCCCAAAAACAAGATAAAAAGCCAAAAAAGTAGATAAAAACGTAATAAAAAAAAAAAAGGCTAGAAGTTTAAAAAAGGCAGATAAAAATGTAAAAAAAAAAAAAAAAGGCAGATAAAAATGTAAAAAAAAAAAAAAAGGCAGATAAAAATGTAAAAAAAAAAAAAAAAAGGCAGATAAAAATGTAAAAAAAAAAAAAAAAAAGGCAGATAAAAATGTAAAAAAAAAAAAAAAGGCAGATAAAAATGTAAAAAAAAAAAAAAGGCAGATAAAAATGTAAAAAAAAAAAAGGCAGATAAAAATGTAAAAAAAAAAAAAAAAAAAAAGGCAGATAAAAATGTAAAAAAAAAGGCAGATAATTGTAAAAAAAAAAAGTAAAAAGGGTAAAGAAAAAAAAGAAAAAATGTAAAAATATATATATATATAAAAAGCAGAACACAACTTGAAGAAAAAAAGCCAAATCCCGCAGGAAAAAAGCCCACCAATAAAAGAAAGCCATGCTGCTGAAGTGAAAGGATATGGGCATAGCTAGACGAGTTTTACCAAGGCTATCGGTTTCCACGCCTGCCTACTTTGAATGGCCTAAACGTAGACCTCTATACCCCCGATGGATTCAGCAAACCCCATCGGAAGTTAGACCATGTGAATGAGATTGAGGTTCTGGAATGTTTCCCTGTACACTAAAAGTCCAGCAAAAACTGAAGGGAAATGAGTGAACAGCAGACCTGCCTCCCTCCCAGTAGCAGCCATACTTGATGTGAGGCTTCCATTACACACACTCCTACAAGGAGAACCAGCCATGCTTTGACGATGTAACTGAAGCCAACATGCTAGAAACAGGGAGAGAGCAGAAAACAAGTCATTCGAGGGATCTCCCTTTAAATGTGGCAATCCTGACCCCTCCATTTTATTTTGGGATCCTTTGATTCCTGTGAGCAGCAGAAAGCTGAAAAGTTGTGTTGGTTCCAAGGCAGGCAACAGGCAGGGCTAGCAGTGACAAAGCCTCCCCCTCCCGTCTCCCAGTGGCAGGCGATGGAGCCATGATGAGACATGGAGGAGAAGTTGGAAGGAGGGCAGGCCGCCTGTGTCATGGAGAGAGTGTGGTGCTGCCGCCTCATGGAGGAGCCACCCAGCATGGAGGGAGCAGAGCGCACCCTCCACACGTTGTGAGCGGCATTAGAACTACTTAGTTCTCGTCCCCCACCTCATGGCGGTCAGAACACACACGGAGGAGGGGGAAGGCGGGAAGGAACCTGCTCGGCTCTGAATGACGGAGCGAGGACACAAGTAACGTGTGCGGCGGATAAAGGCCGGCCCGGCGGGCACGGTGTCCCCCTCAGGTGTGAGGAGATTAGAGCGGGTGCCTGCACAGGACGGCCAGAGCGCCTAGACCTCGAGGAGCCCGCCTCTCTCCCGGCATGGCCGCCCGCTCAGCAGAGTTTATGGCCAGCCACGTGTTTTCAGGAACTGGAATGGCCGGCCACATACACACACGGCTTCCTCCCAGCACCGAGCTCCCCGCCACATCACGTGCCCGCCGCCCTCATCAGAGCCCGGCCATGGCCCATTTCCCCCCCTCAGAGCACGGAACCAGCACGAAGAAGCAACGCATCCCACAGGCACTGAACGCCACTTACCTCAGCCGCCTTCCTGTTCCTCAGCTCCAAGGTGAGCCTCTTCTTCATGTCCATGGCGACTTAGAGCGCTTTACGGGCGAAAAAGAGCCAAGTTGTAAAAAATGTAGAAATAATTAAAAGAGGGGGCTCGTCTGCTCCTCTTTATATAGGAACGGCGCCAAAGACACAAAGGAGGGGTTTGGTTCTAGGGCGGGAGGAGAGAGACAAACCCGCCACACTGACCTCTACAGGACGAGCCGCGTCATCACAGCCTGCCCTCTATAGGCCAGCACGGGGCCAAAGCCGGAGATGGGGGAACAATAAAGACTTTATTTAAAACGCAAGAGAACAGCATGGGGAAGCCATATGGCGCCTTTCACAACAATGATGGGGGAAGCGAACTCCAAATGGCGATACACGCATGGCGCCCGACCAAGTAGGCTATCTTGAGGGGGTTCTGGGGCTGAGAATAACACCGCGATGAGGCCAGATGATCGGACTGATCGTCTTCACCATGAAAAAACACATGGCTGCCAGCGCCACGAGGAAATTGCTGCTTTTATTATTAATCCAACGTGGGATTGTTGTGTTAGATTGGGACTGCTTGGAGGGCAATGACTGTAACAAATCTAAGGACCAGGGTCACCTCTATGATTGGGGGGATGATTACAATGTTACTTTTCACTCGGCAACTTTTACAAGAAACTTTTCCACTGACAGCTGCAATACAGAGGAGACATTGACCTCCATTCTTAGGGTACATGGAGATTACAGGATACATATACATTAGTGTAGATTACACTATACAGTATAGATATGGATTACAATATAGATTATACAGTATAGAAAAATGGATTAGATTGTAGATTATACTATACAGTATAGACATGGATTAGATTGTAGATTATATACTATACAGTATAGACATGGATTAGATTGTAGATTATACTATATACATACCGTATAGACATGGATTAGATTATACTATACAGTATAGACATGGATTAGATTGTAGATTATACTGTACAGTATACTACAGTATAGACATGGATTACATTGTAGATTATACTATACCGTATAGATATGGATTACATTGCAGATTACCATATAGATTACACTATACAGTATAGATATGGATTACAATATAGATTATACAGTATAGAAATGGATTAGATTGTAGATTATACTGTACAGTATAGACATGGATTAGATTGTAGATTATACTATACCGTATAGATATAGATTACATTGTAGATTATACTATACAGTATAGATATGGATTACAATATAGATTATACTATACAGTATGGATTACATTGTAGATTATAATATACAGTATAGATATGGATTACATTGTAGATTACCATATAGATTATACTATACAGTATAGATATGGATTACATTATAGATTACCATATAGATTATACTATACAGTATAGACATGGATTACATTGTAGATTGCCATATAGATTATACTAAACAGTATAGACATGGTTTACAATATAGATTACAGTATGGGTATAGATTTTAGGGTACACAATAAATGAGAGTGTGTGTGTGTGTGTATATAATATATATATAATATATATATATTATATAATATATAAAATATATAATTACAGGATATATGCAAATGACAGTATAGATTATATCACAGATTATAGTATAAATAAATATTACAGTATAGATTACATTATAGAATTTAGAATGCATTATTGAATACAGGATATAGTTTACAGTACAGATAAATATCACCAAATATATAGGTTATAGATTACAGGATACAGATTATATATAAAGATTTTAGATTACAGTATTATATTATAGAATATGGTATAAATGTAGATTATGGAGTGCAGTTTAAATTACAGGAGAGATGGATTATAAAGTACAGTATAGATATGTTGCAGGATAGATGTAGAGTATAGATCACAGTATAGATAAATATTACAGTATAGATTACATTATAGGTTACATCATAGAATACAGGATAGATATAGATTACAGTATAGATAAATATTACAGTATAGATTACAGTATAAATATGGATTTTAGATTCCGTTATAGAATAAGTATAGATATAGATTACAGTATAGAGAGAGATTATAGATTACTGTATAAGAATAGATTTTTAGATTACAGTAAAATGTTATAGATTATAGTACAGCAATGGGTCACAGTATATAGAAAGATTATTGTATAAGTATATATTTTAGATTACAGTATAGGTTATAGATTACAGGATAAAAAATGGATGACAGTATAGTGAAAGATTATAGATTACTGTATAAAAATCGTTTTGTAGATTACAGTATAGATATAGGTTATAGATTATAGAAATGGATCACAGTATATAGAAAGATTATTGTATAAGTATATATATTTAGATTACAAATAGAATACAGTATAGGTTATAGATTAGAGGCTAATTAAATGGATCACAGTATCGAGAAAGATAATAGATTATCATATTAAAAAGATTTTAGAGTACAGGATAAAATTATAGAATACCTTATAGCATACAAACAGATATATTATAGATTACAGGCTAGAGAAAAAATCACAGTATAGAGATTATAGATCATTGTATACGTATAGATATTAGATTAAATTATAGAATACAGTAAAATATAGTTTATAGATTACGGTATAGATATATATGGATCACAGTATAGAGAGATTATTTTGTATAAGTATACATTTTAATTACAGTATAGATTAAAATTATAAAAATAAAAGTATAGATATAGGTTATAGAAAAAAAAACAGAATAGGTATGGATCAAAAGTATAGAGACAATTACTGTATATATAGAGATTTTAGATTACAGTATAATTACATTAAAGTGTACAGTATGGATATAGGTTATAGATTACAGAATAGATATGGATTACAGTATAGAGAAAGATTATTGTATAAATATAGATAGATTACAGGATAGATTATAGATTACATTATAGAATACAGTATAGATGTAGATTACAGTAGAGGGAAAGTTTATTGATTACATTATAAATATGGATAAATGTAAAAGAAAGATTATAGAATACTGTATAAGTATAGATTTTAGATTACAGTATAAATATAGATAACACTATTGAGAGATTACTGTAAAAATATAGATTTTAGATTACACTGTAGATTATAGGTTATAGAATACAGTATCGATATATATTTTAGATTACAATATACATTACAGTATAGTTATAGATTACAGTACAGCTATAGATTCCAGGTATTCTCTTTTTCTTTGTCCCACTGCCCCCATTTCCTTTCTTTCCCCTTCCTTCATTTCATCTGACATGTAGACTTCCATAAATAAAAGAAACCCTGTCACCACATCATACCCTTACAATTAAACACACATTGGAAATGTGTATTATGGTGGCCATACACAGTGCAATAAAACTGAATGATCCATGTCCAATTAATAAAAAAAAAAGAACAAGCGAGCGGGACAAAAATGGCATAGCCCCAGTTGTACAGGGTTGATGAATGGCATTTTTTGTGCCTTCTGGGACATGTTTGTTTACATGTAGATTGATCTAAGTGATTTACTAAGGTGCAAAAAAAAAATGCCTTCAGTTGATTCTTTTCCCATTACAACTGTTTCTATTTGGTTTGATCTGTTGCTCATTGCTTGGCCACACGATTTTGTGATAATTTTGTTGAATCAGACATTGGGCGTTTAGTTTTAGTGTATTGTGTATGGCTACCATTCAGCAAAAACTAAAGTTAAAGTGGAAGTAAAGGCTAATTTTTTTTTTTATTTTTATAAGGCCTGGTTCACATGGGATGTACTAATGCATAGCCTATGGAGGGCCATGTTTACCTGCATGGGGATGTATAGGTGTTCAGTGCATACCAGGGCCGGACTGACCATTTGGAAACTCGGGCACTGCCCGAGGGCCCGGGGTCAGTAGGGGGCCCCATGAGATGCCCCTGGTACCTTTTTCATAGGCTTTTTTGAGTTTGGGCAAGGATACAGGGGCCCTATGATCCCCTATTGCCCGGGCGCCCCATGAGTTGTCAGTCCACTTCTGGTGCATACCCATGCAAGAAGTTCGACTGGGACTCAGCAGCTGTACAGACACAGCCGCTGCTCCCAATTTTTCAGCCGTATGGGTGCTGGTGTATGACCCCAAAAACGGACATTGTAAATTAAAGGAGACGCACGTGCACTCACACCGATATCAAATAGGGAGCAGCAGCCGAGTCCCAAGTGACATCAATGGGACTGCTTGCATGGGATGCATGGAACACCTGTGCATCCCCATGCAGGTAAACATGGCCTTCCACAGGCATACTCTTTAGTACGCCCCATGTGAACAAGGCCTTAGTGTTGTTAAAAATGTTACCTCCTCTTACCTATGCTACATAGCTTTTATTAAGGAAAGTTGTGGAAATATAGTTTCTATAAATCCACTCCAGTATGGTCACGTTTGAGGATCTTTGGATTCCCTTTGTCAGGAGCATTTGTGAACGACTTAGAATTCCTGGCGCTTTGACATCACCCATCAACTCTGCCCATCCATTGTCAGCATTTCCCCTTTCCCTGTAGCAGCAGCTTTCTGATACAGCGGAGCTAGAGCTTTTGTTTCATCTGAGCACACCACAGCAGATTAAAAAGATATTTCCATATAGACCTTTTACAAAGGTTATGCAGCACAGGTAGGAGGGGAGAGAATGTTTTTAACAACACTTATAGTAAGCCTTTACTTCCACTTTAACCTATTGACACCAACAGTACGGAAATATATAGTCTCTAGAAAGCTGGGCCTTGATGCCGATTGACCCCATATTTGCGTACCAAAAGTAAGCAACCGTGCCAACAGCGCGCACCCTGCACACTCCTGGCACATTTAACCACCTCCCATCCAGCCGTTGTATATAAATGGCCGGACGGTGGTAGTGCAGGGTCGGGTGGCCGTTTATAAACAGCCTCCCCGCCCCCTGTTTGTGCGCGCTCCCTGGGAGCACGCAGCACCGCAAATCCGGTGCCCGCTATGTCCTCCGGACACAGTAGAACACCGTTCATTGTACGAGACCTCTGTGCGAGGTCCCGATCATGTGATCACTGATTGGCCAATCAGTGATCACATGCAGAGTAGTAAGCAAGATGTCACTTCTGACATCATTGCTTACTATGTGTGAAATCTGTGAATGATCACAGAGGTCACATGGTACAAGGCTATTTACAACAGCCTTGTACTATGTGACAAGCTGTGACCAATCACTGCTCACACAGTAGTTCTCAATGGCAGAATGCAGCCAGGTGGGGCCAAAATGCAGCCAGAGAGAAATAGAAATTGCTTTTACAGCCTTTATGGGTGTATGGGCTCGTTCACACTTGACTGATTTACCAACGCTTGCCAAACACCCCTATAGCGTTTGGCAAGCATTGGTCCGGCGTGTGCGGAGCGTTTTTTTCTTTTTTTTAACGCTCGGCAAACGCTCCGCAAATGCCGCATGCGCGGTTTAGCGCGGTTGCTAGGCGTTTGCCAAGCGTTAAAAATGCCCCACAAACGCCTGTAATGAAATTTAAATGTTGTTACCGCTCCGCAAACGCGTCACAATCGCAAGCAATGAAAGCTGAAAATTGGCCTGGACAGGAAGGGGGTAAAAGTGTCCGGACTTGAAGTGGTTAACGGAGCCTCACGGAAAGGCCCCAATTGCAAGTAGTGACAGCCAATCACAGCAGTCAAATGACACGAAACCCCGCCTCCCAACATGACAAATCCCTTAAAGGGCCAGGTGGCGCCGGTGCCAAGGGGTTAAATAAAAATTGTTTAATATGCCCATCAATCAGTGCCCTGCTCTTTTTTCTTTTCCACCATGTTTAGGTACTTGGGTAAGTAATACAGAACCTTTTCTAGTAAAGTAGTGTGAATTACCTGTTATTCACATTAGGGAAAGTACTCTTAGAATGAATGTTAGGAGAGAGAATTAACTGATATGAATTGAAGAACCACTTAGACAACCAGATGTTAAGAGCAGCAATACAGTATAACAACGAAAGACACATTTTCTTCCTAAGAGGTGTTCTTATTATACTGCAGTGAGCAGTGTCTCCACTTTAGTTTGAATGTAATCACAAAGCATGTTTTTTATCCACTGAAGGGCAGGTATCAACAAATAAGTCTGTTTTTGTACTGTATGTCATTCATTATTGTCTATGAAATTGTGCTTTTTTTGGTCTGTGATCAGAACTCTGAATTGAGCCTGTCAATGATAATTATTCATTTGATTTGATTTTGTTGGCAGCATATTGGTTACTGGTAAAACCAAAAGCTGTATCCCAGAATAATGGCAAACTAATAATTGGAGATCCAAATTTAAATAGGCCAAGGTCCTCCGATATAGAGTATATAGGCTGGATGGCCGATGTAGTGTGGTTTGTCACTATGGATATTCCTATCTGATAAATTGGCAACTTTGAAGAACTTTTTGTATGTACATTTTCTTTGAGTTTGTAATATTTTTTATGCAATTTTCTTCATGTAAAGTTTTTATTTTTTATGAAACAATGTGTTTCTGTGGGTGTGGCTTTTGTAACTACCTACTCCAATCTGTTATGCTAAAACTAGAATTCCCATGATGTGAGAAAGAGTTGTCCTAAATATGAGAGCTATTCCATATAATGTTGGGAATCTTAGTGTTGTACTGTTAAGAAAATAGATTGATATCATTCATTTCTTTTTACAAGATGTCAAACTCTAGTTTTATCCGGGGTCTGTTATGCAGATAGTTAATTTGGACATAGATGATGACAGGCTCTGATTTCAAGTATGATAGCTTAGCATAAAAGTTAGTCAAGAAAGGACTAAGAACATACTAATCAGACAGTAGACAAAGTACATACTTAATACAGGTCCTCCTTAAAATGTAAGTAAAGGCATTTTGCAATGCAGGGAAGGGTTAACACGCCTGTTACTTTTTGCAGTCTGTGTCCTGCCGGGACAATTCTCCTTCAATTTCTGTCCTGTAGATACAACAGGAAATGAGAGAAAATGTATTATTTTATTATTTATTACAGGTTAGCGTTTTTTGCACATATTTTTTATATTTCACATCAGTCCCTGCCCTCAAAGAGCTTACAATCTACAATCCCTAACTCACATTCATACATATACATATTAAGGCCAGTTTAGACAGCAACCAATTAACCTACCAGCATTTCTTTGGAGTGTGGGAGGAAACCAGAGTACCCAGAGGAAACCCGCACAGGGAGAACATGCAAATACCGTGCAGGTAGTGCCATGGTTGGGATTCGAACCAATAACCCTAGTGCTGCCAGGCAAAAGTGCTAACCACTTAGGCTCCATGTACACTGCGGCTGATAAATTCACATTTAGGAGCTGTTCAGCATTTTTTTCAGCAGGCGCTGAACTCTCCCTAATGTTTTCCTATGTGTCCATGTACACTATGTTGTTTAAAGTCGTTTGCAGGCAGTTGAGTTTACAGTTGTTTTTTGAACGCACCAAACTTGCATTCAGGAGTAGATTTTATCAGCATTTCAAACGCTTGGAAATGCAGCTAACCGCGTTTATAAGTGTTTGCAAAAATTTTTTAACTCTTCCATTTCCAGATGCTGTCGAGAGCCTTTTTTCATCATGAAAAATGCATTCAAAGTACTTTTCGCATGAAAGAAAATATGTTAGACACTGCTGCAATAATTTCTGCACAGAAATGAGCTGGAACACATTCCAAACACCACAAAAAAAAACAAGACAGCTAATCTCAACAAATACTGCTCTCTCTATTTCTCTCAAAATGTCAAAATAGTTAATTTTTTACTGTTTTTCAGTGCATTCTGGGCATTTTGGAAGGTCAAATTAAAAAAATAAAACACCAGTTCCCAAAACACAGGGTTAGAAATTACCGAATAAAGGATGGTGACCCAATTATAAATAAAAAGCTATATGCTGAATTCTGTTGCCAGCCCCAAACGTCCGCGATGATAGGCTAATGCAGAGATGTAGAATACATCTCCAAGAGTGTTAGCAAGAAAAATGGCAATATATGACATAATATATTCCCAGGAATCTTTTGGCAGTCAATGATTGTCATGTATATATCATGCATGACACAATTGTTTGGTGGAACCGGTAATATGCATAATATATAAATGCCAATAATGGAGCACAGGAGATTATCAGTAGAGACCCAGTTCAATAAGAGTCCACATTACTCAAGGCATTTAATATTATGCATATTACCTGCTCCACCAAACAATTGTGCCATCTGCATGATATATGTTTACATGACAATCATTGACTGGCCAAAAGATTCCTGGGATATTGGGCATATTATGTCACATATTGCCATTTTTCTTGCCATCATCTAACCACTCTTGATATATTATAGAGATGTATTCTACATAACTCTGCATTACAAGCCTATCATCGGGCACGTTTGGGGCTGGCAACAGGAATCTGATCCCAGCAGTGGCTGATAGCTTTCCCTATATTGGGAGGATCTTCACCTGTTAACACACAGGATTCAACTCCACTGACCTCAGCAACTATCCCTGCATGGGCTACAGGTCGGTTGATGACTATTAGCTGTTACAGGTTTGACACAAGCTTTCCACTTTACCATATCTGCATTTTTTCTGGACTTTTACTGAACTGGGTCTTCACCTGACAACCCCTTGTGCTTCAAGTATCCAAGGCATCTATATATTATGCATACTATGGGCTCCACCAAGCTATTATGCCATCTGTATGATACATGTCTACATGATAATCATTGACTGTCTAAATGACCTTTGGGATATTGGGCATATTATGTCATATATTGCCATTTCCCTTCTATTATTTAACCACTCTTGCAATATTGAGGAGATGTATTCTACATAATTTTGCACTATAAGCCTAACCGCATATTTCTGATGAGAGATCTGTAATACTTTCATACTTTACTTGATACCTGAGGAATGACCTTCAGCTCTTTACCCTGATACTAGGGATTATACCAATTATTTTTGATGGTTGCTTCAAGGATCATGTTTATCTAGATTGATTATTATGCACGTCTCGTGTATGTTTATATGGTTATGTGATTTATACATGAATCCTGTCCTTGGTACTTACCATACCTTCTTGAGCTATCTATATCATCACCTGCTTGTCATCTTTACTGTCTTGTTCATATTTTGAGACTATACTATTCATCACAGGTCTACTATTCATCACATCTTTATGAACTTTTTGCATGTCTAGTGCTGTCCAGGTTGATCTTGCCATTCTGCTTTTGACTTCCTTTCCCCCTGGGTGGTGGTGAGGTAATTTCTTGTGTCATTTTTTTGTATATTTTGGCTTACCATGCCATATATGTCTTTGTGATATTTGTACCTTTTTTTTTACCGCAAATTAAATTATTTTTTTGTCTACTATTTGGTTTTCAAGGCTGCAGTTTGTCCTCATTTGGACCCCCTTTTTGGCCTCTGGGTCCTTTACCCTCTGGTCTGTCTTCTTTATTTTCCCATTTTGGAAGGTCTCCTGAGGTTATCTTTAAAAAACGCTTTTAAATGCAAATGCTCATAAATGCGGTATGCAAACGCGGCTAAAGAGGAAGCCATTTATTATATTAAACATCCTTATGTGGTTTTCCTTATGTGTGTGTACTTTATGTCCTCATGGACTAATCCCTTGTCAAGCTTGGATGCAGTTAAATTGAACAGTATCCAGGATGCATATAGTAGACCCATACTTTCTTAAACTTTCCACAATAAATATGGCAAAAAAAACAGTAATCCCGGAAAAATAAACATCTGTTTAACTGCAAGACACTGAGAGGATCCACCAGGCAACCAATAATCACTGGTGTGTACCTGATCAAATTATGATTCCAACCCCCAATCTGAAATTGCTGTAATGGATATGTTTTTAGAGGCAAAAAAATCCAACAGGTTTACATCTTTGTTTACACAATTTTATCCAAAATTACTTAATATTTCACTAGTGTCCAGTTTGTATTTTAATAGCATGCTGCTTTCACAAATATCCATTATAAAGCATATTCATGGTTGCTTTGTGGCACTGAATGTTTTTATGGTTAATTTATACAATTTGTTATTGGCACTTTTATACTGTTTATGTATTATTAAGCCTTAGTAAATTACAATTTATAATATTTTAATAAGTTTTGAAATGTTTTAATATTAATGTGGCAGAGGGATGCAGCTGTCTCACTGCTCTAATTCTTCAGGTTATTTGATTTGTAAGTGTAGTTGGATCTACTGATTTATACTGAGGGGTATGGTATGGTGTAACACCCCCAAAGGTGCAATGTTTGGTCCATTCACAATATTTTGTACTCTTCACTTTTAAA